CTACTACTACTACTAGTAGTAGTAGTAGTATATTTATCTATTGTGGTAGGAATTCTACACAGCAACCGTATTAGCTTTTCTGTTGTGGTCACATCCATACCATTTTTGGTTGTCAAAAACAGTCTAAAATGCAGTACAAATGCAACCATTTTGCAACTCCTCCCTCTTGTTGACTCGCATGAGGTGCGTCAACTTTGTGCTAAAAAATTAGCTCACAAAATAGCCAACAAAATAGCTCACAAAATAACCAGTTTAAAGCTAAAATTGCAAGAGTACTACTAAGAAGAAGAAGTATTGAAAAGCAGCAACAAGAAGCAAACAATGGTAACAGCTCAACAACAGGTGCTGTGCCATGGGGGGATTGTGACGCCTCCACGAGATGTAAATCAGCCAGCTCAATAGAGCAGGTACCACAAGGTCCCACTTGAGTTCATGGATCATGTACATGGAAGAGTTGATGAAGGAGGCCCTATTGAAAACAATAATTGCTTTCCAAATGATACACTATTCACTGCAGAGCAGCTTAGTCTTCTAAAGCCCGATCATATCTACAGGTTCTTTGCAAAGAAAGCCTTTGGGCAAGAGGATCCAGGTGTGGATGATAATCCTACTCATGGTAGATCCACTTCTTTAATCTACTACAAGAAGGCAATTACCTATTTTATGCCAAACAAGCTGCACAAATGGTGGACTGTTGTTGCTGGTGTCAGAAGTGGCAATCCTACCAAGTCCCAGCAAGTTAACAATTTGATTGCATCAGTAATTAAAAAAGAAACTAGAGGACTTAGGCAGGCAAGCAGCACGGATCAACCTCTTACCTTGTATGAGTTCTTGCAAACACTAGAACTGATGTCAAATCACTTCTCCATCTCGCGTCCACTTGCCTTGTTCCCAGATGACATGGAGACATTCATCGATACTGCTTCTACTTCCATGCTCACATATTACCACCAGGTCTATGAAATGACTATCCTTGCAAGTGTCCGCAAGGCCTCCCTTACATCAACCTCCAACACCCACTCAATTACCCAGTATTTTCCATATATGCCTCATATTAAACAACAACCAGAGAGCGTCACATAAGAAAGGCTGGTCTTTGACGCATACTCCAAGAAGAAAGGACACAAACCACCAGCATTGCCAGGGACTTCCTTGGCCCCAGTAACAACTCAGACAATCCAGACTACTTTGCATCATTTTTACAAATAATTATCCAGCCAACTCCCCCACTCCTCCCCAGTCACAATTCCACCAAAAATCCTTGTAGGGAAGGGCCTCCCCTCAGTGGTGCAACTAGGAGCATAYCTCATCCCCCAAGGCATGGTTCTGGCCACATAGTGCCTCTTCTAGTTCGTGAGGTTACTAACTATAATATTAAGATTTTTTTAAGAACTAATGTCAAATCATGGTACCATTGCCAATTGGCTGAGGTTCATTGAAATGCTCAAGTTCCAGGTTCATTTGATTGGTGGTAACAATGAAATTGCTCATGTGAGGAAAGTTAGCTTAGAAAGATCAGCTGAGCTTCCAAAATTCCTCACAGCAAAGCTAAAGTGGTCTAAAAATGTAAGGGAGGAACGCAATTGCCMAAGACAAATACTCCTTGGATTGATGGAATCACAGGGCTTGTGTGGTCTTTGGGCTTGCTACTATGTTCCTTGAAAAATGGTGCAAGGGTGGTGGTGGTGGTGCAAGCCAGTAGAACTACTGATAGGAAATCCCCATTGAAGGATATAGACAAAGAGGTGAATAAAGGGAAGAACCAGTGCTCTAATTCTATCAAATGCTACTATGTGTTTAATAACAAAACCTTTGTTGCTGAAAGACTGGATTCAGAAGGGAAGCTTGGCACTCATTCCTTTCAGAAGTTAGCTACTAGTACTCTTGCAAGACAGCGCAGTGGCCCTAGGGATGATGTGGATTATAGAGCTGCCTAGATGGAAGTCTAGAAGGCAACAGGATGGTTACACTGACACCCAGCTTGCTTGGCTCCTGATGTGAATCCTATTAAGCACGTTGAGGTTATTGCTAATGAGGTCAGTGGACAGGTCCATTTTGATGAGCTTGCAGATCTAGATGATCTGAGGATGGATGGATGGTGGTGAGGCAACAGTGCTTGTGGTATCAGAAGGACTCAGTTGCAGTGGAATCACACCATGTTTTCCAAGCTGTTTGCCACAGCTAACAATAAAGTGAATGGTATTAGGACGAATAGGCAGATCACAAGCAAAGCCACGTTCAATCAGAAGCTTAATAGAGYAATTGACTTATCCCAGAGAGTTGGTGCTTTGGCTCCTGTTGCAAGAAAAAGGCTGCCCC